ACTTTAAAATAAATTTTTATAATTCCATTAACTTTTTGATTATAATCTTTATTGGTTATGTAAAGATTTCCCTTTTTTTAAAATAAATAACTTTATATAAATTACTCTAGACAACTAAAATATTTATATTATAAATTATAGAATAATCTGTAAAATTTATATAAATTTAGTTAAATTAAAAGATAAAATTTAGAATAAATTTAACATTAATCAGTTTGAAAGAAAAAACAATTTTTGAGTGACAAATATAGGCTAATCTTTAGATTAGAACAGTTAAAACATCTGTTGAAATAACTAAAAATAATCATTCTTAAATTTTACAAATAACGTATTACAAAATAGTACAAATAATTTGCGAAATTTATTATTATAATATTTATATTTTGTATAGTTGTAGATTATTAAAATCAATTTTAAGGAATCATAGTGACAGTTGCCATTTTATATTATATATATTCAGATATATTATCAGATATAATTTAATAATTTTACATTCACGGTAATGCAATTTGCCTGGTTGGTGAACTCAGGGATACAGATCTTAGGAAGTGATGAGCCAAGCCAAACTTTAGGACTATAATTTAACAAGACTATGTGATTTCCCGGTAGTGCTATTTTTATTCAGCTTCTTATAGTACCTTACTTCTATGATTTATAACCAACTTTCTTCAATGAAATACTTTCCCCCCCCCTCTTTCAAGTATGTTAAACTTAATTTTTATTAGTTAAAATATTGCTAAAATAAATGAAACTGATATTTGAAGTTTATCAATGAAATAANGTTAAATTCTCAAAATGTAATCCGAATAAAAGTATATTAATCACGAACCACGTTATTCTTTAATTGAAAGCTTTTTAAAATAGTTTTTTAAAAATAAAAGTTATCATTTTATTACATTTGAACTTTACGAAACATACTAATGCATTGTATATATATTTATAGATACTTTACTCTATATATATTTGCTATATAATATATGTATTCAACCAGTTTATATTCTATTTGGCAACGAAATCATTTTCATACAGTGAAAAAGATTTCGTGACCTTTTATCTAAAGGGATTAAAGTGACTGTTTGTTTAATTTTTTCATATTCTATAAATAATCTCTGCTTACAAAAGGTAACTGGATGGATATCGAATTTCAACAATATTTAAAAACAAGCAAATTTTTGGATAGAAAATTTTTCTTTTTTCTTTCTTTCTTTTTTATCTCATTGATTGGATTTTGTTTATGAATTTATGAATTTTTTTTTTTTTGTTTTATTTTCNTTTGCTATATAATATATGTATTCAACCAGTTTATATTCTATTTGGCAACGAAATCATTTTCATACAGTGAAAAAGATTTCGTGACCTTTTATCTAAAGGGATTAAAGTGACTGTTTGTTTAATTTTTTCATATTCTATAAATAATCTCTGCTTACAAAAGGTAACTGGATGGATATCGAATTTCAACAATATTTAAAAACAAGCAAATTTTTGGATAGAAAATTTTTCTTTTTTCTTTCTTTCTTTTTTATCTCATTGATTGGATTTTGTTTATGAATTTATGAATTTTTTTTTTTTGTTTTATTTTCACTTCAATTTTATTTTTCAGCTTGACTTTGATTTTATTTCTGACTTTTTTTCATTTTTTATTTCCATTTCCTCTTTTTCTTCTTCTTCTTCTTCTTCTTTTCTTTTTCTTTCTATCGCCATTATATCGTGTTTAATTCTTTTTTATATTGTTTAGGATTTCCAGTATTAAACTTGTTTTCTTAATTTGTTATTTACAATGTTAAATTGCCTGTTATACAAGTTATCATATGTATTTTTTTTTTTTTGTTTCGGTAAAGACTACTTTTATATGATAATACATTTAATTTTATTGTAGCACCGTGTATTTAAATATCCTGTCTTAGTATATTTCATACACATTAAGAGTAATGATAAAATATATATATATTTATTTGAAGGATGTACAAATTTATTACCATATCGATATAAGTGAAAAATGCTAGTAACACAGCTACCGGGAAGATATAAAAATAATAAAATAGGTATCATCTACAAGAGGGAAAAAGTTTAATGTCTGTCGTCATAGTAACACAAAAATTCATCATCATCCAATAGCCAACGCCCCCCGAGGTTAAACATTGATATATATATATATTTATATACACCACGTCACGAATTTCAAATCTCATAGTGGTTGTTTAATCTGTTAAAAATTCAATAAATATCACAAAAAGATTTTTTTTTTATATATTACTCTGATTCGATTAAATCTATAAGCATAGTAATTCTCTTAATGATTTTTAATGTATTAGTCTTTACAATAAATTATTTTTAATCAGGTAATTAACTACTTAATGCAAATCCCGCAAAATTAATTGTGATAAAATAACTTTCTGCAACTTACACTATAATGACTAAATTAACATATTGATCAGTTCAAATTATTTTTATATAATTTATTTAAATTGTAAATTTTCTATTGAAAATCTATTTAGAATTTTCTTACGTTCGTATTAATAGTTTAGAAAGAAGCACGAAAAATTAGATAACATATTCAATTTTTTAATTAACTTTTTAGTATTTTTATCTAAATTTATTTATTGTTTCTTATGTAATATAAAATATTTATCTGCATAATAATTATTT